GTTGCGGTCAAGTTTTATCTCATTAAAACCAACAACTAAACTAGTTAAGTATAACAATTGAGCCTAACCAAATATCACGAACCAAACTATGAACTGAGATGTTGGGATTTACAAGATTTGGAGTGGCTTGAACATAATGGAACTAAGAGGTGAATCTATGTGGGAGGCTTTCAACAGTAAAGTCAACTCAAAATTTCATGGGTCTCTTCTTTAGTATACTTTGAAAGGAGGGTTATTTGACCCTTTCTCTTGAGAAAATATTGATTTTGTGAGGGTTCGAGTCTATGTGATAACACCACCACAGTGCAATAACCTAATCATCTATGGAACAAAAGGAAACTAATGTTACACCAAAGACTGAAATTTTTATTCGACATTTACACAAAAACAACCACATACCAAAGTCCAGATCCCTTAACACATGTAGAGACACAGACACAAACGTTCGTATCTTGCAGGGTTTGCTCATGGTTTAAAAGACATTGAGCGAAGTAGCATACAAAGGAATGCATGGCTTAAAGGAGAAACAGTTTGGTACATAAGAAAAGAACCTCAATTTCTTCAGTGAATCTGTAGATCCAAGAGCCAGCTGGTTCAAGTACGCATATATGCTCTTCGTCCACTTGATAGAAACGCGTCGACATTTAAAGTTAAATCGCGCTATGGCATCTCAAATAGCTACGAAAAAAACTGATGATTCTTGTTTTAGGCTCATTGAAAAAATATTTAAAGTTGTAAGATTATGTGGGTGAGAATTAAACAGAGACCAGTCTTTGATTCCGTCATGAACTTCAGTTTCCGCAGAGCCGTGCCTCAATGTATATATTTGAAACATTTGCTTTCGGCATCAATTTTTTTTGGAAAAGTTGAAAGGACATATTTTTACTAGTTTCATTTAGTTTAACTCATATAAAAATTATAGAAATATAGATTTAAACATTATAAATTTTGTGACAGTTAAAATAAACAAAACATTGGCGTACATGATAAAAAAGTAAAAACTATTGGCTTCTAATGGTTAAATAACTAAAAATTTATAAACAAAATTTTAATTGTATTGTTAAAGAATTAGAGTAAAGTAAACGTCGAATTAGTTTGTTACATAAAAGATTGAGTGACTTGACTATCTTATTTTTATTCGAGTATATCATGAAAATTTTAATTATTTTCCATAAAATAAAATTTAGTTAAAAGCTTTGATTTTGAAAATTTGATTAGCAATTTTGTTGAACAAAAAGAAAATAAAATATAACTAATATTTTAATTGCTACTTTAGGTTGTGTATTTGTATCTTTATATGACGATGAGAATTATTATTGTATATGAACTAAGGTATCTTATCGCTTTGGGCATGCGTCAACGTTGGCACGGCTCTGAGTTTCCGGATCCTCCATGTCCAAACTCTCTTCAAAGCGTTTGTAGTCCTCATCGTGCAATAGATATCAATATCAGAACCACAAGCTTCTTCGAATGGTTTGATCAAAAGAACCGCCCACGCTGTGTCATGTGCCGTTGAAGGGTTGTGATATTTTGAGATTCTAATTGGTT